AAACTGTTCCTCGTGTCAGCGTCCTGACTGTATGAAGGGGCCCCAGGACACACAAATAAATACACACACGTAAACATACTCCCCATATTTTCCTATATTTTCTGGGTTTTTGTCTTCCTCCCCACCTCCCACATTTTACCATATTTTCTGGGGGATCGACGATTAATGGTGTCTGTGTTTTTCCCCCTCCTGACTGTAGCCAGATCGTGGAGGATCCCCGGGACAGCCCCGCAGGGCAGCAGCGGCCTCCGGCGGGCGGCCACGGGGCGCCGGGGCGTGGCCGAGGCCGCCCTCCGCAGAGAAGCGGCAGACGGGGCGGCAGCCGGGCGGCACCGGTCCAGAGCGAGGCGCGCCAGCGGTTGCGTCAGCTCTCCAGGCGCATTTCGGGGACCTTGAGGGCCCGCACCTTTCGGTCACTACCAATCTGGGGGTGGACGCTACCGCTGGGCTAGCCAGGCGACAGGCTGGCAGGTCTCAGAAGAGCAAGGTCCGCATGACCAGTTTCAAGAGGAAGGCTGCCAGGCTGAAGAAGCAGCGCCCCTCTTTGGGCAGGCGTGCGGTTAAAATCGGAGCGCCCATCCAACTCTTTAGAAACGCAAGTGCAGTCGGGACGTTGACCTAAGGAACCCTAAATAAGGAACGAGGCCTCTTTTCCCCATAAGTAAAACTTCGATTTCCGATCGAAGCCCTAAGCAAAACCAAAGGCGAACTGCAAAACCACTAAGGAACACCGAGCCCCTCCCCAACGAAAAGGGTTCCTTCCTCAGCGCCCCGACTGTACAGTCGGAATTGATTGGACAGGACACGCGAGAGGACACAAGAACCTTCCGAGGGCCACATCGCCATGGGGGATGTAGGAGGCACGTGTCGCGAGGCACAGGACACAAGGGTACCCTTGAGCTGGCAGGGTCGACCTACTAATTACAGTAGGGGTTTTGCTATAGGGAACCCTAAACAAGGAACGAAGCCCCTTGTTCCTCAAAGGTGCACCTCGATTTTCGATTCGAAGCCATAGGTAAACCTCAGGAAAACCTGAGGAACACCGAGCCGAAGTCCCTTTTTCCTCAAAGGCACACCTAGATTTTCGATTCGAAGCCAAAGGTAAACCTCAGGAAAGCCTGAGGAGTACCGAGCCCCTCCCCAACGAAAAGAGTTCCTCATTCAACGCCCCTATCGTAGAAACGCAAGTGAGAACCCCTAAGTGCAAGCACTGTGGGGAATGATGCACTCACAGCTTCTGGAAGATTTCGGTCTCTCGGGGGTATCCTCGAGAGACTGTAAAAGGCCAGCTTGGGCCGTCTTACGGCGATTTGGAGGCCTCTTGGAGGAGGGCCGGCAACCATCTTGAACAATCTTGTGCCATCCAAGAGGCTATCTAATTTTGTCTAATCTTGCCGAGGCCAAAGCATGACACAAGGCCACTGGTTCTTCTATGGTCGCCAGGGGGCTCGAGGGGTTGGCCGCCAGGTGACTCGAGGGGACTCTGCTGGCGAAAATCCTGCGAGGGGATGGAGCGTCCAATAACTGCCCCAGATGGCTCCAATATTGCCTGAGGTAGCTTCCACGGCGGCGAAGTTTGACAAGCACGGCGTCCAACATGCCTCCGAGAGGCCATGAGACGCCTGAAGACGACCTCAAACGGTCGTGAAGTCCACAAGCGATGTCTCCAGGAGGCCAGACTCTTTCAGAAACCATAGGGTTTTCAATGATGTTGGGCTTTTTGTTTGTGGTTACTTATGATGAGCTTATGATGCTTCAGTATGGCTTCAACATCTCACAACAAACCCTTCATGAATGTCCAGGAGGCCTCCAATAACGCCCAAATGGTGCCTCAAGAGGGTCCCCAGGAGGGCCACCACACGCACCATTTCGGCCTCGGACAGGCGGGGCTGTATTAGGTCCAGCAAAGAACTGTGTATGAATACAAGTGCCTGCACAGGGAACAAACTACGCCCTGGGGACAACTATCCGAGTGTATGCGCATGATTCCATATGCACGTGCCCACTAAAGAAAACGTGCGGACATGCAAGCAACAACACGACGCACGGATGCACATGCACCTGCAACACGTATGACCAGCTGCCCACAAACAGAGGGCCGTGACTAAACGCCGCGCGTTGGCACTCCAAATCAACCGATTGCATTTTCCTACCGCAATCACCATCATCTTCAATGTGCATGATAAGGTGACGCTGGTGATGAGTGCGCCCGATAATGACGATGATGGAAGTTGTGCGTGCTGTTTTGCTCTGACATTGCTGTGGCAGGCCGAACATACGGAAAACCAGCGAGACTATGCGAGAACTTCCAGTAAACTTACAGAAGACCAGTGAGACTGGGCCAGAGCTTCAGCACATCAGCCCAGCAACGAATTCCACGGCACAGCAGATTGCTCCAGCGGCCGCTCCAAGCAGCAGGTTGCCTGCACGTCATGGTGGCTCAACTGAACCAAACTCAACTGACGCCGCCCCAGCCGTACCTGCATCGGAGGGAGCGTTACCTACTAATATAAAGATTTTGAACAATACTGTGCAGGCGGCGATGCACCACAGACCCCATGTTTCTGGGTTCTAGAAGATGCGGGCGCCGAACAATTGGGCTAGCAAGCGCCGACGCGGACGACAGAAATAACAGTGGGGGTTTTCATTTGACAAGTTGTCGCAACACATCTGAACACATGTGCAACTTAGAAAACTTAGAAATGCTCCTCTCCTCCTCTCTCTTCCTCTTGCTGCTCTGACGTTTTTTCTACCTCATCGCAAAGTTGCCACGTTGCACCCTTGAAGCCCTACTTCTAAAAGATAAGTGTTGTTGATCTCCCTGGTGCCCAAT